CCGGCAGCGGCTCGGTTCGGTTCGGTCCGGTCGAGAAGATGCGGGGCCGAGTTTGTCGGTCTCATGTTTCCGGTGAATTTCACTCTTTCCTGCTTTTCAAACGGCTTCCTGCCTCCGACTTGACTGGATCGCGGAATATTCCATCTTAAACTTGATGACATTATTTCCATTCGACGAAGAGATTCGAAAGTGGCTCCCATCAGAAGACGATTGGATTTAGTCGAAAATTCTCGTTCACGCTCTCCTCGAAAGAGGCTGCTCTTCCTTTGGCCCACTTTACTCGACGGAAGTGTCGACCCCTCCTGAGCAGGTCTCATCAACGCCCCAAAACGGAGCCCAACTCGGCTTGTGCCTGTGCCACCTGGGCTGATACGAGGCCTCGTTCGGATTCGATGAGTCCCATGACATAACAATGCTGTTGAGACTTTCGTTTCGTATAAAAGTGCATGATGCAAACAATAGACGGACGGATATGAGCTAGTGTTAACTTGACACTTTTGCAAGAATAGGTTCGAGCTCCGTGGACGTGCTCCTGTTCAGCCCGAAACAAATGCCAACCGACGACAGAGCAGCTGAGATAGGCCGCTGTCTTCCGGTGACATCAACCAGCGAAGCTATTCATCATCCACTTTGACATGAAATCAAATTCTCCACGACAGTGCATCGTAGACTCTCGACAAGCCAGCGGCGCGCCAGACTGCCACGAGCGCCAGCAGGTCAAAGGGCAGACGCGAATTTATATGCAATCCGAGCCTTTACTATGTCCCGTTTTCTGCATTCTGATTGTCAATGAGCCGAATTTATATTATATATATATATAAGTAGTATATAAGTAATATATATATATATGTATGTGTATGAATATATGAATGAAGGTCATATATATGAATATAAAAATATTTAAAATATCATAATAGTATAGAAAAGTAAAATGATCACTGTTATCATATGTTGTATTGTGTACGTATTGCAGTGGAGGTATATAGTAGAAAAAGAGTTGGTTTCAAGATCACCTTCCCGTTTTCTGCACTCTGATTGTCGATAAGACGAATTTATAATATTTTTATATCTTTATTTATTTATTTATTAGTAGTATATAAGTAATATATATATCCATAAACATATAAATAAAGGTCATTGAAATGCTATATATTTATATAAAAATATTTAAAATATCATAATAAAATAGTAAAGTAAAATGATCACTGTTATCATATGTTCTATTGTGTACGTATTGTAGTGGAGGTATATAGTAGAAAAAGAGTTGGTTTCAAGATCACCTTCCCGTTTTCTGCATTCTGATTTTCGATGAGGCGAATTTATAATATTTTCATTTATTTATTTAT